GATGTCAGTATTCAAATAACCACTAGCGGGCAAGATATATCATGGTTCTAATAGACATGTCTATTATATTATTATTACTAGCCCTTGATGGCAAAATGGGGACGCCAAGAGAAGGCCACACTGCGCTCAGCGATGTAACGAGCATACCTACTCCAGATATTTTCATACACTCATATTTTTTATATAAGCCATCATCTATAAAAAGTATATAAATAAACAAGGCCATGTCAACAGCTTGCAGCGAAGAACAACATAGGAGAGAGGAAAGGAATAGAAAACAACGTGAGTACCGCGTAGGATTAGGGCTCAAGAAACAAGCGAGCAAAGGGAGGAGAGAAATAAGAGGCAGCAGGAGTACCAATGGGACTCATCGTGTTTTCGGCGAAATGCACAAACAACGGCACCTCCTAATGCACCGGATCGGCCAAAAAGCTAAAGAATGCTCTTCTGCGTGTCATCCGATTGCTATCTTTTTATTATTAATATTACTTATGACCTTGTCTTATTACTTCAACAACAGAAATAGCAATATCCAACTTATGGGACAACGACATCACCCGCTTACGCAACCAATTAATGAAGGATATTTTTCCGCCCCAAACATGAATTCTATTGACGTTAATATGACCCCATGTCGTCAATTCAAGGAGTGCAGAGAATCACCATTTCGAGACGGGAATTCGAATTTTCTTGGCCCAACCTCGGTCCAGACAAAGAAAATCAAACCCCATGCGATGCTTCGGAATGGTTGCGTTGAAATGATAACTACATCGAGATCAAGGCAACAAGTATGTGGGGATATCACAATGGAGCCGTCTGCTTTCAGATGGTTCGAGATCCGAGTGAAACAATAACTGGAATTTTATAGTACCTACTAATGATGCTTTTTTCTATTTTTACGATTTATTTATATCTCACCATATCAACCAAATGATTAAACAGAATCCAGTTCAAGTGCCAATCAATTGCGGAGAAATAGAGAAAGGTACAACAATCTTGAAGAATCGATAAAACAAGAATTATTGGATAAAATGCGAGGCTATACAAGGGACAGGAGAAATATTGCACATCGGTCCATTCAAAGATACTCCAAGCAAAGAATGCCCAAATTTACAAGGTTGCTTGATTCATTTTTCTTCCAATCCATAGTTTCATATATGTAAATTTCGATGTTAATTATATAACTTTAACCTATAATAACTACTATACGATGGGACACCAGCTCTTCGCGACGTTACATGCAAACATCGATCGGGTAGATGAATACGACACTACCTTGTTCCAAATTTTAGCAAACAACGAGATATAAGAATCGATGACGAAGGAGGTGGGTTGCTTTTAATGACACAAACATGACTGCATAAGAGTTAGTTTTAACATACCACGTCTTGCCCATGCAACAGATCCCCAGGAAGACATGGAACATCAGAGCGATGATGACGAAGCTAGACCACCGGCTCCGACAACTTCATCACCATGAACATGGAGGAAGCGCAGATCCAATCTGCGTCGACCACTGCTTCACCAGCATCGGCTACGGCTCCGACCACGTTGGATCTAGCTCCGGCCACACCAAAGATCTTCTTCACCACGTCGACAACCCGTCGTTCGCCTCCCTCGCTACAAAGGGAGGCGGATCGACAACACCGACCTGCTTCGACTCCATCGATCGTGTCGGCACCAAGCTTGTCAAATCCTAGCTCTGTAGATTCGATTCAAAATCAACCTTCCGAAAGCGGTAACCACTACCCACAACAGATCTACGACCAGCTCGGGCGATCGTCTCCGCACGACTCGATGCGGATCTCGTGGTCACATCTACTCTGAAGAGCGCTCCGTTCGTCAGCCGACCAGCCCCGCAGCGGGTCTCTCGGCTCTCCGAAAGCGAAGCCTTGATGGAGAATTACGGTGCCCACCCTACGGCCTCTGAAACACTTTGCTTCCAACTACGCGTACAATATACAACGCTGCTCGGATCTGTGTTTTATACATCGACCTCGGCCAAAGCCACGCAACTTCGTCAACATGGTTCGGATTGAGGAGTATCAAGAAGTAACGGTGTACTAAGACAAGCAATAGCCCTAACATCTATGACATATCATAAGAGTCGATCGGATCGATCTCGATCCGGCCCGGTGGAGTAGATGGTCCTGTTTCGACTCAAGCGTCTGGTTTTTTTGTCTCCACGCGGCATCCACATGGAGCTACGACACCAGATTTGCATGATGGCTTGCCATTACATGCACGATGAAGATGACGTTAAGCAGCCATGCAAGAAGACGGAGTACAAGCAAGTGGGCCAACTATAGGTGTTCGTGTTATGTATGTATTCATACACAATGTACAGCGGCAACCTATAAGGACTCCGTGTGCTTCTCCGACTCCAAATATGAAGACCACATACAATCTACTAAATCGCCATCAGGCTACTCCGTAACCTTCACGCAAGCAAGGAAGATCTCCGACTGCGCCCGACCTTGGCTGGACATGTCTGAGGGCTTTTGCCTCCCCATGCGATGGAGCTAGGTACATGCCCTCCGACCACCGAACTGATCGAGCAGCCACGTCGACCATGTCCCGTGCGGCTCAGCCGAGCTCCGACCACATCGACCACGGACCACCTCGACCACGTCCCGAGCGGCTCCGCCGAGCTCCGACCACCTCGACCACCAAACCACGTCGCAATGATGATTGCCACGAAGAACGGCGCTATGACAACCGCGACCACCGTCACAACAGGCCGAAAAGCACGAGGACCGGATAACTTTATCGCCATCGACTAGATTTCTATCCAAAGATAAGTACACTTCTAATATTTATATTTAATATAATTTTCATTACGATGTTTCTCCACAACGTCCTTGTCATGATTATTCTTCAAATAACATTTGTCCATGTATACCATCTTAAATATAACATACAACTATACTTAATGCAAATCCTCGACCAGTCATGTTGACGCTCGATGTCTCCAGAAATGGCCCTGTCTCCGGCTCCTCCCTACACGTGCACGAGCGTCTGCCCTCTGCGTTATGGGTGGTCGGCAGTGGCTCTTTAACGACGCTTTGTTCTTCCTACACGTGCACGAGCTCCGCGCCCCGCGTTATGGTTAACGGGCTAGCTAGGGCTGGAGACTCAGCTACACACTAACTGGTCGGGCAGTTTATATTAAGTATAAACACAAACTTCACATTAACACTGATGTTTACAAAGCACCAACTGCTTTATCACATCATGCGCAGCTATCATCTACACTGAGGAATGAATTCTTGACTGACATTTTGACGAGTCCTGCAAGCGAATGTTTCAACATCCCTGAAGATGTGCAACAAATGATAAAGGACTTACGCCAAATGTAACTTAGGCTACAATATAATAATTGGGTAAAGGTTAAACTACAAAATAACAAATTGGATGTTTTTATGATCATTCTCTAGATAAAACCGTTGCGTTAGCACGGGTATTATACTAGTCATATGGAAGAGATCACTTTTACCGTAGCGGTACCTTTGGCGAATGCATTGAAAGATGCAGTGGTGTGAGTTGATGGAATTAAGGTGAAAAATATAATTTTTAAATCTTAAATCTTAGTTTCTTATTTAGTTGTCGAGGGAAACAAGAATGAGGTTGAAGAGGTAATTCTAGTGTGTCTTTTTTAGTGTAAAATTATATGGCAGATTATGATGAATGATGCCAATGTACTTATTAAAACGTAATTCTCACCCCTCCCTAGAGAAATGATTAGTAGGAGTTCACCCTCTAAATTCACATTTTTCTTTCTACCAAAACTTCCGCTCACACAAAATAAACACATGACTTCCACTCACATGAAAGATGATGAAAAATTTATGGGATGGAATGAGTTTCGTGGGGGATGAAACTTGTTTGCATTGTCCCCAAAACCTGTGAGTCTTGGAAACAGTAACATGAAAATCTCTATTGAACTGGCCTAAGTATATTTCATTTGCCATTTTATAGCTTGTTGGTTCTGTTAAAAAACTTAAGCGTGTTTCACTTTAACAAAATGTTGGCCATCGCTTGCTTCCTTTCTTTTTTTCCCTGAACAAAATATAATAAACTTAGAATTGGCTGTTTTTACTCGGTTGTCATTTGTCAAAGTTAAAATTTGATTTCAATACATTGGCATACTCCCTCTGTCCCCACGAGAATTAGAACACCTGTAGCATGCAAAATACCGATGCTTCGGTCAAGAGAGAAGTCCAAGCAGTGCACTATGGTATAGTATTTTTTTCTCACAACAAAACAGCATCAGACGACTTATTAGCTGAAAAAACCATCAACCGAACAGTTAACACTACAACAGCTGATATCTCGTTAGATTTTGTAGTCATGAACACTCGAGGAAGCATTGAGGCTTGAAGATTAAAAAATGATATCACTCACTTTCCCAACAAATGTTTTGGATCCTACGTTGTTCAAACACATGTCTAGACATCGAATACACATTGTGGGCAAAGAATGAATTGAAACATCAGGGAGTCGTGTCAGTGAGGTGACGCCTCAGCATCGGAGACTGCGGGTGCTCTTAAGGAGGAGAACAAAATATGTAATACATGGAAAACGAGAAAAGAAGAGATAGGGATGGAGATGCATTGAGAAAAAATTAACTAATTCAGAATAAATTTTGAATACTAAAAAGCTAAATATTAGTATTTTGTCATTTTTACTCGGTTGCCAAAAAAAATTGCTTCCAGTAATTAACAGGGGGTATAGTAAAATTTTCTCCGCCCTTCTCCGTTGTCCGTGCTCCCCATTTCCCGACACGACACAGGAACCGAGGACCGGATTCCCATGTCTCCCATAATTTCGCCCGCCCGTTGAGCTTCCGGCGACGGATGGCCTGGCCGTTCCCAAATCCTTTTTCTACTGATGATCCCCGTTTGCATATCGGCTCCTCTCCCAAGTCCCAAACGGCCAAACCCTCCCTATCCCCACGCCCGATCCACCCGCTGCCGCTGGACTGCCCCACCACACGACAGATGGCGGCAGGCGTCGCGTGCCGCTTCTGCCGCGAAGACCAGCTGGATATGGAATGCTGCCGCGAGGGCCTTCTCCCACACTCCAACGGCCTCGGGGGCATCCTCCCGGACCGCATCAGCGCCCTCACTGACGACATCCTCCTCAAGATCCTCGCCTGCGCCGCCGCGCACACGGGCCTGCTCGCGCGCCGGTGGCGCGGGCTCTAGGCCCACCTCCCCGCGTTCACATTCCACTGCATCGCGCCCGGCCCGCTCGACGCCGCGCTCGCCCTGGTTGCGCACCCCGCGCCGTCGCTCCTCGACATCCACTTCCTCAGCGACTTGCTCCCACGCTGCCCCCGCCTGCGGAAGCTTTTGATTCCCTTTTGGAATTCCAACTCGATAGTGGTCAGGTCACCATCGCTCGAAGAGTTTAGTGTTCAGGCCAACTTCAATATCGCGCAGCTTGAAATCATGGCCCCTGCGCTTAAGAGGTTGTATATGGATGCCCATCGCGGTATCCACAAGGATTGCAATGTGGTGTTCGCGGCGCCAGAGGTGGAGGGTCTGACATGGAAGTGCGAGCGCAAGGCCCTAACTTACAAGTTTGGTGTCATATGGCGCATGTGGAGCCTGACCTTTGAGCACACTCACACTACTGGAAACAGAGACTTTGCCGAGTGCAAAATTCTTTGCCGAGTGTCAAAAATCGAGTGCAAAATTCTTTGCCGAGTGTCAAAAATCGAGCACTCGGCAAAGACCTTCTTCACCGAGCGGCACTCGGCAAAGAATTGCACTCGGTAAAGATTTTTTTGCCGAGTGCCGGGTCCTCGGCAAACACGGGCACTCGGCAAAGGACTTCTTTGCCGAGTGCCAGACTCTCGGCAAAATCTCTACACTCGGCATAGGCTGCCCGCGAAACGGCGTTCGGTCACGGCCTTTTTTGTCGAGCGCTTGTTGTTAGGCACTCGGCAAAGATTTGATTTTTTTTTAAATTCTTTGCCGAGTGCCCCAGATCTAGCACTCGGCAAAGATTTTTTTTTTAAATTCTTTACCGAGCGTCTCAGATCTGGCGCTCGACAAAGAAATTTTTTTTTAAAAAAAATACTTTGCCGAGTGCCCCTGGGATGGAAGATTTAAATTTTTTTTATTTCTTTGCCGAGTGCTCCTGTGGATGCACTCGGCAAAGAGGAAATTTTTTAAAAAAATTAAAATACTCTTTGCCGAGTGGCACGGCCTTCCTCCAGGCGCGGGGAGGGGCCGCGGCACCCGCCTGCCGGTCGGCCTGCGCGCGCTGGGCGGCGGCGGCGGCACCCTGGGCGGGTAGAGATAGGGGGCCGTAGAGGGGCCTGCCTCGAATCACGCGCGTAGAGGGGCCGCGCCTGGGCGGGCACTGTGGCCGTGCGAGCTCGCGGCGCGGCGGGTGCCGCTGGGCGGGTGTCGCGGCATGGCCGGCAGGCTTGAGGGAGAGGGAGGACCTCCTCGCCCAAATCCACGCAGCCGGAGAAGGAGACAGAGGAGCTCCTCGGTCCCCGTGCCGCGCCGTCGCTGGAGGGAGGAGATAGGGGGCTCCCCGTGCCGCCACCGGATCCGACGTCCCCGCGCCGAGCTGCCACCGGATCCGTCGTCCACGCGCCGCACCATCGCCGGAGGGAGGAGAGAGGGGGCTCGATCCCCTGCACCGCCACTAGATCTGGCCGGGGGAGCAGAGGAGCGTCGCTGGATCTCGCCTCCCACCGCATCACCCGCCTCGAGCCGCGAGGGACGCGGCTGTGGCCCTCAGCACCACGCCACCACGAGCTCCAGCCACTGCATCGTCGGGGGGAGGAACGCCGCTGGGAGGGGAGTGGTGAGGCGCCGCCGGGCTGGAGAGGGAGAGGGAGGGGTACGCCCCCTCCAGCTTCGACCTCGGCGAGCTCAAGAGCACCCTCTCAGCGAGGAATCTCTTCTCTGGAAAGGATATACTTGGCCAGATTTCGGAGTTCTACGATGAGCTGAAGCGGATGGTTGGAGGCGGCCGCCCTGTCACAGACACACAGGAGGAATACAACTCAAACCCAATGTAAACCTCTCCTCATCGAAGAAATGCTGGAATTCAATTGTCGGGTTGTCTCTACGAGGCCCTTGACAATTTCATTCGTGCAGGAATCCGAGTGATTTGATGGAGAAGGTATCTCCTGATGCCAGCGTCAGCAATCCAGTTCCCGCAGATACCGTGAAGGAGGTGGCGAGACAAGAAACGGTGAAAAAGAGTCCAAGCCCAATGTAATTTACAAATAGTCATCCCAATGCAAACTTATGCGTATAGGTTGTACTGATTGTTGCTTACGGCGCTGATGTTGGTTTCTGCAGGAAGGGAAAGAAAGTGGGGCTGAAGGTGGAAGCAGGGAAGCAAAGGTCTCCCTCTGTGCTGAAGGAAGTGAAGGCAACACCGCCCACTCCGCAACGGTTTCCATCCCCATCGCCAAACCGCATTAAGAATGTTAAACCTGGAGGGGTGGCCACAGCAGGATCGCCACTCAAGAAGCCACTCAAGGTGAATCCAGCATGGCTATAGTATTTGCTTACTCGGTGTCCGTGGCTTTAAATCATGGTGTTTACTTGATTTTCACTGTCTTCATTTCTGGGACTTCAAATTCTTCAAGGGCATGTAATGTTCACAAAAAGCATGGTCCACTTTTGTAGATCTTAGTATGGAAGAATACATTAGAGTGACTTCTGCTCTAAAATAAATGATTGGCTACGACTGCTTCTTCCCCTGATGATTTAATAGATCCTACGATGAGCTAAATTAGCATCACCCCAGTTCACCATACTTCACAAACTAAATTTGTTGAACCATGTGAAAGATTAGGTCATGAGATGTTACCGAATGTACTAACTATATATGTCAAGGCATATTTTCTATAAATCCTAATAATGATGCTTGTTCATAACCTGGTATTCATTGTAAGCCTCATAGTGGATGGCCTCAAATAGTTTTTTCAACTTATCTTATGTTCATTGTGGATGATCTCATTAGTTGTGTGTGTCATGAATCATCTTAGAATTACCTATTCTAATAGTCTTTGCCTTAGACCATGAGACATGAAGACTCAGTTTGGTAATTGTTTTCAATCACCTCCAGTTATAATTTTATCTCCTCAATTTTGACTGAACAAAACATTTTCAACAGTGACAAAAGAGAAGTGGTAGATTATCCTGGAGATACTAAGACTAAGATACAATGTGTTGATGCTTCCATACTCTTCGACAAGACAGGCAAATTTTAGCATACACGAAGACATGGAGTTACTGCTGAAGAAACAACACAAGGTTGAACCCTTGCATCAGAGATCTTCCTGGCCACATTGGCTGCGTTGCCTTCAGCGTCAAATATACGTTTATTGTCTACTGAAAAACAACATAGCCTATTAGAAATCTACTAGCTAGAACTGAATCCTGAAAAACATCACATATATCATACTGTGCATATCCTGAAAAACATCACATATATCATACTGTGCATTTGTCCAAGGAGCATTGCCTTGCATACACTAGGATCATTGCAAGAGATGTCTACAGAGATAATCTTCTCCAAACTTGTATGCTTACTCTGCCTCCAAATAATTTACAAGACTACTTGCTTGTGATCTTGAAGCTGTCATAGTTTGTTTCCAGAATGAGTGATAACAAGGGGATTGAATTCAGAAATTCCTAGAGACATATAAGTAATATATAGAGGGGCTAGTTGCCTACCGCGCCTGTCTTTCTAGTTTACATCTGGTTTCTGCTATACAGGAACTAATCTGAGACCAGAACACACGGAAACACGGCGGAGCCCAGTCCACTGTCTACATATGAATCGATCTCTGTAGCATCTTATGTAATCTCCCATCCCAGCATTATGAACCTTTTGATCCCAAAATTTTGAATATTTATCAATATTAAATCTGAGTTCAAATAATTGCAAGTTGTGCCAAATATGTTTGACCAAATTTAATCAATTGTCAGCATACAATAAAAAAGTGTAATTCCAAATCAGGGTAAAATCACAATTAGGCATAACAAACAGGGGCAAAATCGTATGGGCATTTATGTTATTTTGTACAAAGTTTAACACCGTTAGGGGTGGATGACGGAGTAGGAGCAAACTGGTGCTTCTTGAATGATACAGTAGGAGTTAATTCACAAAGTCAAAAAAAAATAAGGGTACAAATGCAGGAACCCTTTTTTTTCACTGCATGCTTTCCAATTTTCTGTATAGGTTTTCTCCGGAGATGTATCCAAGACCTTCGAGCAAGAGATATACCGATTTCAAGTTACTGACTATTCTGTTTTGGAGCTGGATCTCATACAACAATGGCATGTTTATGGAGCAATCGTCCTCCATCTTCTTGGCCTTTGTACTTCTATACAAAGGCTTAAGGTGACGCTAGATGAATTTATCGTAAGTATTGATTCTATTTTGCGGATATGATCATTCTGAACACATTTCTATCATAAAATGCTCGAGGCCATGCCCAAAGTACGAAGCATCACTGACACACTTTACTTCAATGCTGTTCTTTAGAGGGGAGACTCCTGCTATGCAAATTGCCATTGTGATCAGCCTGATAATTGGAGAAGTCAGAGTATCTCCTTGATTGATCTTAAAGAAGTGGAAATCCAGCGCTTCAGAGGACAAGACCATGAAGTTGATTTATTGAAAGTACTCTTGAGATGTGCTACCGAGCTTGAAAGGGTGACTCTGAGATTTTCCAGAAAGGTCTCATCAAGTGACAGTGTATGCATGAAAATCGTTGGCATTTTAGAGGATTATCCTTCCGTGAAGTGCAATGTTTATCAGTATGGCAAGCTGATTTTTATGCATGAATAGGATGCTCTTGCATGAAACAGGATGTGATTTAGCCCATTCCTGTCGAAATCGGAACTTCCTTTATTGCTAGATTGTCGAAATCGGCGTCCCATCGAACGTAGGAGAGCAAGTCAAACCACTTTTTTACGCTGTGTTCGGCTGGTGCAGTGTACAGTGATTTTTGGATTGTTTTGCATGATTGAATAGTATTATGTGAGAGAGAATAAGCTGAAATAAGATGAAACAAGTTGCAAGTCAAAGCTCCTCCAGTAACAACTAGCCTCTCTTAGGCAGTGTTCGGCTGGCTGGCTGGCCAGCCACCTCACGAAATCACTGTTCACGTCCTATCAAAACAGTATTTTTCTCTCACAATAATCAGTTGAAACAATATTTTCAGTTCTACCGAATAGGTCCTTAAGTGCTACCAAACGCACAGGCCAAGTGAGAAACAGTTCAAGGTAAGAACTATGCCCTCCGTTCACAAAAGAACGTAACTACCGCCTTGTTTAGTTGGACCCCAAAGTACAAAAAGTTGCTACAGTACCTGTCACATCGAATGTTTGCTGCTCGTGCATGGAGCATTAAATGTAGACGAAAATAAAAACTAATTGCACAGTTTGGTGGGAAATTGCGAGACGAACGTTTTGAGCCTAATTAGTCCATATTTGAACACTATTTGCCAAATAAAAACGAACGTGCTACAGTAGCCCAAAATACAAATTCACCCAACTAAACAAGGGCTACATGGTTTGTGTCAGTTAAACTAGTTTAAGTTTAATCAAGTTTATAATGAATAGTACTAATATTTATCGACCTGTTCGGCTGGGGATGAAACGATCGTATACGATCGTGGATTATTACTGCTGGCTGGTTTGGTGTGAGAGAAAAATACTATTCTGGCTGAAAATTTACAATCGTTTACGACCAAGCGAACAGGCCGTATGTCTTCCACATAATTTAGTACGAGAATACATTTCATAATTAATCTAATGATACTTATTTTGTATCATAAATGTTAATATATCTTTGTATATTAAATTTAGGGTTTTTTACCCTTTGAAAACCCAGAAGTGCATTCTTCCATGTGAAACGGAGGAAGTAATTAAGAAATAAATAATACGTATTCTAAAACATATATTAGTGGTTGCCTGAGGTGCATGCTATGGTGTTGAGATTTTACCCACGGGCCCACGGCGAGACGTCCACTGTGGGCTTGGAGACGGGACACGTCGAGGGCACCCAACCTACAGTAAAGTTACACGATCAAGGTTTGTCTTGTCCGTGGCCGCGCAGTGGGAGACGGCCGATGTCCGTGTCAAGTGTCATGACTCACCGCTCACCATGCATGGCGTGCCGTGTTGCAGTGCTGCTTGTCACTTCCATCCATCTTCTTTTCACCAGTCACGTCCGCGAAGGCCTGCTGCATAGCCGGCGAATTAATAAGGGGAATGCCACGTCATGCCCCGTGACGTATTACTGCCGCACCAAGATTGGTGGCGTGGTAGATCCTGCCACGTCACCGGTCTGCGCCTTGGTCGTCGCCGCGCTACCATGCATGACACGGCTCAGGCGTTTCGCCGCGCCAGGTAAATAGACGCGGTTGAAAGTGTTAGATTTGAAGAAAAATAATAAACAATGTTAGATTTAAAAATAGTTTATAAAAAATGTTAAAATTAAAAAAAAATCCAGATGAAAGTGTGCCCTGGCAACCTACGGGCTCTGTGTTATCTATGAATACGGCTATATGGATCTGGACTGGCAACACATTGTTAGTGACTAGTGAGGGTAATCATGCCAAAATTCTGCGTTCAGAGATGTGAACGAAGTGGCCTGTTCGCCTGAATGCCTGATAATTGTCACTCTTCTCCTGCGTGGTTGCAGTGCCGCCCCTCCGGAGACCGGAGGACATGGCAACCGTGGAACAATCTGAGTATTTATCTGACAACATTTAGCATTGGACAACAAGCAATCTATGCTAAAACATACTCTGTCCGTTTCAAAATAGATGACACTTTGCTATGAATTAGACACTCATGGTTAAGTATCATCTATCTATCTTGGGATGGAGGGGGTAGTCCAATTTATCTGAAGCTGAAGCAGCGCAGGCGCTGGCATGCAGTATACGTAGGCCGGTCTGTAAATTTCACTGTTATGAGTTTACGATTTGTGATCACTGACGTACGGTCGATGATTGAGCACTAGCAGATAGAATTTTGATAAGCTCTCTGGCACACATGAAAAAAAAACACAGAGAGAAAAAAAAAACTACTACTTCCTTCGAATTTACATTACACTTTAACGTTGTCCTAACAAAATTCTTTTAATTAACTAATTTTATGCAACAGTATATTATCAAGATATATTTCATAGAGAACCTAATAAAACTATTGATATAGTAAATGTTGATGTATTTTTTTATAAATGCTGTCAATATTAGAGAAGTTTTATTTAGAATAAAACTAAATTGAATTATGATTTGAAGTGGAGTATCATATATTGTAGTGATGCGACAACTACTCTAGCCCCTTTCAAATCCAGGCTAATAGAACGAAATTCCTGATCATAACCATGATCCTGCTGTCCATCATGGAGAAGAAGATGTTGTCGAGGAAGACCAAGGCCGCGTGGTCCACAAGATGGAGAAGCGTGGGACATCACCGGCTAGGACGAACAGGCCGCCTTTTCTAATTAAATAAGCTAAGTATGTCGATTTCATAATTTTCATATTGACTTCGGACACACTACTTTTCATTATGCCAATGCTCAGTAACTAAGAAAATGGTACCTATTGCTCCTTGTTTATCAGGACGACCCGCGTCCGGACGTCCGAAACGCGATGTCAGGACGTAGCTCCCACACCCGCACTCGATGCACGCAACTCCCTTTGCCCCGCGCTTGATGCTCGCAAATTCCGGACGGAGCTCCGCGCATGCACCCGACGCCCGCTGGCATCGCATCCCACGCCTTGCGTCCCCCGCATCGTGCACCAGTGTCTGGAACCGCGCCCCCGCGTCCGCACGTGAACCACGGCGGCGCCCCGGCAACAACATCAGGCCTGCCACGCCCATCCCGCGCACGGCGGCACCCCGACAGCAGCACCAGGCCGCTGTCCGCTGGCCACCAGCGCGCACTGCAACATGTGCAACACTCGATCTACTTTTGAAACATGAAGATAAAAATATTTACAACATACAACAGAAATAGATGAAACATTTAAAATATGCTCTTAAAACATGCATATATAGCCATAGCAACATATACAACATCTAGATCCACTTTTGCAACATAAGTCTGAAACACATGAAAACAAACAATTGAAACATGTGTGTGCAGCCATAGCAACATATGCAACATTCAGATGAAAATACTTGAAACATGCGTCTGAAACAAATGAAACACTTTGAATATAGGCTTGAAACATGCGTATATTGTCATTGCAACATATGAAATATTCCAAATCTACTTTTACAATATTCAAATGAAACACTTGAAACATAAGTTTGAAACGCCTGAAACACTTGAAACACAGCGTCGTCACCAGCCACAGCCTACTTGGTGGGAAACTCCGGTAGCCAACAAGCTCGGGTTAGGGGATGTTGAGAGCAACAGTCCAGCGTACACCCCAGGAGCAGTGCGCAGGCCTCCCTTTCATGTCGACGGGCACGCTGGATGGGGGTGCAGGCGTAGGCCTCCCCTGCCTCTCCTTCTACGACGGGGCTAGGTGGATGGGGGCATGGCGCGAGGCACAGAGTAGCGCGGGATGAGGCTGGGTGCGGTGGCAGATAGGAAGGCGGACGGGAGGCGCGGCGAAGCACGGTCGCGGAGCACATCCACGGACTCGTGGCACTGCTGCGATATTTTTTTTATGAAATTGCGGTACCTAAAGGGGAGCATATATAGGAAGTGAATAAGAAAGCCTTATGGACATCGCGGCCCACCAATGGAGCCGTCCTCGATAGTGCGTTACCGTTATATGTCGTTTCGAATTGATTAGTAACTTGGAACGGAGAGTAGATTTTATAAAGTATAGAAGAGATATGTGGAGCATGTACACCATTTTGTGCAAGGAATGAAATGCCAATACAGTGAATTTGTATTTTTCTTATATGTGTTTTTTAAATGGACACCAATTACATCAACTCAAGCCTGTTGGAAAAAGTGAGTTTCATGTTCACACACACAAAAAAGGAAGGGTTATTTGGATTGGTACCATTACAGTTCTCAAAACTCTGAGATGTATCATTAAAATTCGTCTATTTTGAGATCTACCATTATAATTCATCGTTTCACTGAGTTTCGCCATTTTCTACGTCTTCCAGCTGCTTTGGCCCACTGGCAGTCGTATGCGCACTGTTCTCTTTTCTGTATGGACGATTTTGCCCCCGTCCGAAGATGAAAGAGCCCTGCGTTGTGCCCGTGGCCCCATCTCTCAGTCCCTTCTCCTCGCGCTCACTCTGTCTCTCACTCGTCCTCCCGACACGGCGACGGCGGGGGAACCCTAACCTTAGCCGCCGATGTCCTAGAGCCCGCGCCCGCGCCCGAGTCAGCTGCCGCCGTCGGCCAACTCCACTGCCACCCACGCCCGAGCTGTCCTCCCGGATCCCGAACGATTGGAGCCTCTCCAGCGACCTCACGATGGTGTTCCATTGAGCGCAATGGCTGACCCCGCGGACATGGAGCACGGCGAGGAGAGGTATGGATCTCCAACCTTCAATCTCTTGAGTCTGAGTAGCGATGTGAGTAGGTCGAGGAATTACGCTGACCCTAGTGTATTTATTTGCGAATTGTTTGTTTGCTGCTAGGGTTCGGTTGTTCTCCTTAGAGATTAAAGTTGAAGGTTTCTGTACTACAGACAGTAATGGTAGGAAAGCTTACACGAAGGGTAGTGTGATTAAATAGGATGTGGAGGTAGGATTGTTCACTTTTGAGTTGCTGATGCAAAGCTTGACCAATCAGTTCAAATGGTCCCCTACCCAGAGTCCTTGTGTGTGGTTCTTTGACAAAAGGATGTGTGAAGACAT